TTTAAAAGTATGGTTAAATAATAATACATAAGTGAATTTATTATATAATCTATTATCGAATCTTTATTTATTTACATGCTTTTTTATGTTTTTAGTGAGAAAAATATATTAAAGATTCCACATCATATAAAAATATAAATAAATTATAGTATATTACCATATATAAATCCTACTTTACTAAATCTACTATTCATAAAAAATATACTATGTTATTTAATACAAGTTTTTTTTTAATTTAATATATTTAAATAATAGTTATTTGCAATATTAACCGTATGTTTGGATGAGATAATGTAATAAATTTATTTATTTATTTAGTGAATACAAATTTTTTTAAAACAAAATAATTATTTGAATTAGAAAATTGAAATTTAGAAATTTTAAGAAGATATCTCAAATAATTGAAATAATAAAATTTGAAATTCACTTAAAAAAAAAGAAATTTATTTCACAAATATATTTTTTCTATTAAAATTTGACTCATGTTGCATGGACAAGTTCTAACTTATTTAGGCAAGTTCTAACTTATTATTAACTAAGTTTTTATCTTTTTGTCTAAGAAAACTCGATTTAAAATTATTTTTCTTTAAGTGAATTAAGTTACGGACAACAAGTAGGTTTGATTTCATTATAAGATTTTCATTAACTTATAAATATAAAACATTCAGCATGAGCAGAAAATTCAACTGATCCATGTCGAAGGTCGAATTGAGTCGGCTTAGACTAAAGGTCAGGATGAATCAGTCCAATATGAACTCGAGCGAAGTCGACTTAGGTTAAAGGGTAAAGTCTTCAACCCATGATAACTCGGCTCTATCCTTCGGTCCGCATTGACTCGACACAATTCTTCGATTGGTTGGCTCAGGTCAACTTTTAGTCTGAACTGACATGACTTGACCTTCAACCGTGCTGACTCTGTTTGACCTTCAATTAGAATTTTCGACTCAATATAACTCAACTCAATTGACTTGACTCAACCTTCGACACAAGTCTAATATTCGATCTATAGCGACTTAGCTCGACTTTCAATCTAGATTGATTATTTTGATTTTTGTTAATCTTTTGATGTTGTGAGTTATATTTTACATGAACTGTTTTATTTTATAAACTTTTTTTGTCTTCGACCCATGTTGAGCACACATATTAAAAAAAGTTATGAAATATTTTTTTTATTTTTAAATAAAATTTTATCCTTAAAAAAATTTAAATATTGTATATTTCATTTTTTTTAAATCAAACATCAAGATAAAGGTGTAGATGACATTTAATAACATAACATGCAATACAATCGTCGTGAATGTTTGGTTCAAGTGAAATAGCAGTTATGCATGTTGAACAAATATTTTAGAGGTGTCTACTAAATTTTGGAGATATAGTATATTAAAATTAAAAAATTAATTTTATTTATATATTAATCTATATGTGTGGAAAAAAATATTTGGAAGGACCAAATGCCCTCAATGTGAAGTTAGCTGGGCCACTGCGACAGAGAGTGGAGAGTAGATGGCTAAAGTTGGGTCTTATTTCTACAACTACTGTGGTGTTTTTAAAATATATTAATTTTGATATATGAAAAGTAACTTAAAACTCATCAGAGATAAGTTTTGATCTATGATTTTTTTCATGAGATGAGTTGATATATGATTTTTTTCATGAGATGAGTTTTCCAAACTGCCATGACAGTCCCAAGGTTGGCTGTTATAAAGTATTTCTCATGGTAGTGGTGAACACACACATACACACACGTGTGTGTGTGTGTATATATATATATATATAATCTATATAGGTATTCTTTGATTTTGATAAAATTATTATTAAGTATCTGAATCTGTTCACCACTGTTTTATGATAGATTTGTGTGTAGTTAAGAATGTATAAAAAACTATTTGATTTAAAAGGTAATTTGATTCTCACTTGTTAAATCTGCCACTACCACTGTGTGTTGGTAGCTATAAATATAGAGTTGTGCAATTTTTTTGCACCTAATTTCCATTTGAGTTTGCATAGAAGCTTAGTAGGAAGATAGGAACAAACAATTGCCTTGGAGCTCTTTGGGAGTATGAATTGATTCTTAGGTACGGTGAGTTAATGGAGCCTCTAAGAGAAGTTGTGGCACTAATTTGGATCTTGTATTGTGCAGCAGTAATAATTGCATTGGACAGTTTGGTCCAAAATATGTATAGCAAGGTATGGAAACACAAGGACAATCATTAAATTCCATGAGCCGCGCTGCACAAGCCTGAATCTTTAGCTTAGTGATATTCATGGTGTGATAAAAGAAAACACAGCAGAAAACAAATGCACCAACAACTTTTGCTACATCTGTTTGTTTTATTTTGTTTTTGTTACTCTCTAAAATAGTTTCTTTCTAGTCTACTTTCCAAACCATCTTTACAGTTCAAAATGTTCAATGTTGTTTATTTCTAGCAGAAGAAACAAAAAGAAGGAAGAAAAGGGCAAGGAAATAACCGAGAGACAAGGAGAGGGATTTTGAATAAAACAAGCCCATGTTCAACTCACATGGGTCCTGCACTTACTGCTATTCTACTTTGCCAGACATAGTGATCCATCAACATTACAAGTACAGAACCTTTACACATAATAATCAGCAAGAGAGGGATTTTGTGCAAGATTAAAGTGATATTCTATTTTGTCCAAGATTAGATCACAAAGAAGAAATAAATACTATAGTCCTCAACCACAAAGCCAGATTAACAATTTAATATTGCTGAAGTTAAGGTAAAATTTCAATTGTATCAAGAAACTAATAGTACTCTTGTTTAGCTAAGAGAGTTTCTGATTACTTGTTCAATGACAGGTTGATGCATTGGATTGACAGTAACCAGGCTCAAAATTGGCCTAATTGGAAAGAAATTTTGATCAACTATAGAGGAAAAGCAGATCAGAGAAAAAAGAAGTGAAACATATCAAGAGCAGCACTTCCATAACATCTAACTCAAAGATTAACAAGATATCCAAAACTATGTACAACAGCATGATATTCATAGGAAAACTAAAATTGAGAGATGAAAATAACTGAAAAAAGTAAACCATGTTCTCTCACAATTTATCTTCAGTGCACACTATTTCATTCTTCTCAAAGATCTTGGAGGGTACGGCAAATCGAGCTGAAAATGAACGAGAAGCGTTATCAGGGTCGTTGGAATAGCCATCATCGAAGTTTTGTGAGTAGGAATTTGGGTCGTATTGAGCATGAACTGCTGGTGAAGCACTGAATAGCCTCCTCTTTTCCCTCTTGATCTTCCTCCAGAATGTTGTCCAGCCTGGTATCTTCAACCTTGTCATTAAGTTATCCACACAAACAAATGGTGTGCAAAAAATTGTGACATAATAACTTGACCAACTTCTCTTGGTTTTGTTATGAACAGAGTGAGAATTTTCAAGGTTCATGGTGAAATGCTGAGAAAATTGAAAGCAAAAAATGGTTTAATTTTGGGGAATTTAGGGGACAATGTAGCAATGCAGAGGGAAAGGTTGTACAATGAGCCCCGCAGCAGCTCAGGAAGAACTTATAACGGGAAAGGATGAAAATAAAGGCTATGGAATGATGCAATGCGATCTTGCAAAATCAAAAAATTCTTTCGCTCTGTCAGAAACTGAAATTTCAATTTATGACTTTCTCAAATTGCTCTGTCGGTATAATATATTTTTACTGTGCGTTTCCTTTTGCATTCATTACAATATTTAATAATATGTCTTGATTTAATGACACTGTTTTTAAATAATTAAATTTTGATTTAATATATTCATTTTGAAACATTAAATTTGGTCACAGTTTTGAATTTGCTTACCGTTTTTATTTATAATGACAATTGAATATTATATTTTAAAAAAAATATTTTTAGGTTTAATAGTTTTTTATGTTAATATTTATTGAATTTATTTAATGTGGTCTGTCACTTTATTTTTCTCAGTTTAATCTCTATTTTAATTAAAACAGTGGAAGTGGTCCATTTTACTAATATCACTGCAATGACATTAATGATCGAGACATACCACAAATATAACATTTTCAGCTTTAGATGGATCTCACATCGCCTTTTCATTCATTTTTGTAAAAGAATATGAAAATTGAAGATAAAAACAATTTCCAACTATCAGATTCATCTCTGAATTCTTGGAATTATTATTTTTTTTCTAAAAACAAACATAAAAAGAATTGGAGTAAAACCTTGATTTAGTATCTAATATTAAGATTGTTGTTAATATAAAAACTTAAAAAATAATGAGATTGAGTATTTTAGTTTAAAAATTAATATTAAATTTTAATTATTGTTTTATTTGGTTGATGATCCTAAAAAGATTTATTTTATTTTATGATTCATAACTTCATCTGAAACCTAATATTTTAAATTTTATGTAAAAAACATCTTATAAAACTCAAGTTTTAGACTTAAGATCATGATATAATTCCATGCCCTAAATATTTATTTCTTTCATCCAATCTTGCATTAATATTTTTAGAATTATATTTACATTATTTGATTCAATATACTAATTAAAATAAAACGAAGTATATAATATATATTAATATTTTATCAGAAAAGCTCATCGTTTTTAGCTACGTAATTGTTTATTTTAAAATATACATATTTTTCTAAATAAATACTGGACAGTTTTCTTTTTACTTATTTTATATATTTTTCATAAAATAATTAAAAATTATTTACTATTTTATTTTTCCTCATTTTTTTATCTAGCCAACAAAAAATTAGACAGCTACGCTCAAATTATATTTTTAAAATAATAATTAGGTGATACACTTACATATAATTTAAGGATAAAATATCATAATTTGTTTTTAATTTTATAAAAAAAATATTAAATAAATGTAAAAAAAAAATTATGTGTCAAAAAAATTATTTTTTATATTTTTATTTTGAAGAAAACTTTATTTAAGATAAACTAAAAACTATGTTACCTAACGAACCAGAAGTTGATAGAATTTGACTGTCCGTAACTGAAGCAGTAACAGTTCTGCATGTAACCTAACATCTTGGTTCTGTCAATTCCTTCGCCACCTTCATTTATTTTCTTACGTCGCGACAGAGTTGTACTCTCACCACCTCATCACCATAACTCCTTCCCCAACACTTCTTGTCATTTTATTGTTTCGGAAAATTCGAAACAAATTAAAATGTTATTACATTACAGTATCATGTTACAGAATCAAAATTTACTGATACATATAAGGATGTCAGCATAAGTAGTTACACAAGTGATGTTTAGCCACTGTTACAATAATAATTAACATAGGATTATCTAACTTCAGTACACACGGTTGCTAATCTTTTAAGCTAACCTTACAATTATGCATTATACTTACAGTGGCCTATCTAAATTTGAATAATAGTGTGGGGCTAGCAAGCATCTTTGGACGCTTCTGGGGACCCTGTGTTGTCACTGAAGTGAAATCATAAAGATATTCAGTACCAAATACATGTTCATCGAAAAATGGAAAGTTCATCGATAAATATTACCACCACACTCAATAAATGTAATAAAGCTGATCATAGTTACCTCGTGGAGACAATGTTGACGAATAATAGTCTGGTTTACTATACTCACCAGAACCTCACATGATACTTTTGCCTGTGGGATAATCTTGTATTACATACAGCAGCATCACCAAATTCTAAGTAAAACTACGTGAATTAAATTGAAGTTTCTACGCACTAACTATACTGAAGTTGGAATGTGGAAGTTCTATAAAAAAATTGAATTTTGAACTCTTGAACGACCTTGATTATGAGTTGAAGAAAAATTGAAACGAGGAATGAAATTAGGTTACCTTGATGGGGAAATGAAAGAAGAAAAGGCCGAATTGGCCACCGGTGTGGCTAACTGTGTCAAACGGTACGATACCTTTGGCCACGTCTTCCATAAGCAGCACCAGCTCAGGCAGCACACTTATGCCGGCGAATTCCACGTCAGCATCCACGTGGGAAGACCCCCTCGCCCTCACGTGCACCTCCCTCGACCTCACGTGACCCAGCATCTTCCCTCTGTACGCCACTGCCACGTTTACCGCACCCAAGTCCATGAAGTACACGTCAGCGTTGCGCACCTGGAGCGTCAGCAGCATGGAGATGTCCACGGTGACGGGCGGCACAGGGTGTACCTTTATCCGGCGCAGCTTCAGCCCCACGATCTTCAGATCTGGATCCGACGGCCACAGAACGTAGAGCGTGCTCACGAGCAGCGCCATACTCAGCGCGCACGAGATAACACGACGCCGCGATAAAACGACGAGGTTTTGGTGGTTGTAAGGTTTGTGAAGGAGGAGAGCGTAAAAGGAAGCTTTTGAGATTCGCATGGTTTCTCTTTAAACACTGTGTCTGTGTAACGATGCGATTGCAGAAAATATGAAGAATGTGAATGGAACGCACGATTACCTTTTTGAATTAGGTGTGGTGTCTGGGAAATTGTGGCGCGCTTTCCTATTTTGTCTGCGAATGCTACCTTTTGTTGTGCTTCATCATTTTTCTTCTGCTTCAAGTACAAGTTAACTTGGATTTTCTGTTTTCACCATTTTTTACTATCCCTTCATCTCTTTGATTTTAGATTGGTAGATATTTTTCAGTTCAAAAAACTATCTAATTCAGAGTCAGTGCATATGATCCATAATATACAAATTTATCAACTATTTACTAAATTAAGCAGAATTAGTACAAATAAAAGCTATAAATGTATTTTATGGTCATGCTTAATTTTAAAATAACCTTGCCACTGTTTTTCTTAACGTGTAATTAATTTGACATTCATAGCAAGCAAAACCATGTTGAAGTTGCATTTTGAAGCATTCAGTTGAAAATATTGCTTTTGTGTCACTTAATGTTTTGGTATGGATTATTGAAGAGAATAAGAACAGCGGGAAAGTAGAATAACTGTGGTGTGGATTGTTGCTGACATTTAGATCACATTCAACAAACTGACAGTCAAAGCTAACCAAATCTACCAGTCAACTAGTCACAGGTTCTGTTCATGGCCAAGTTTCAAGTGAGAGATTTAGCTAGTACTCTCTTTTATCACAGAATTATCTTTTTCTGCAGCTTCTACAATTTCTTTCCCTTTCTTCAACCTACCTATGGCCAGACCAGGGAACAAGATCATTCAAGCCAAGCTGGTGGGTATGTCTTACCTTATTCTTAGTTTTATTTTTCTTCCTCATAATATTCAAATCATTATTTCAGAGTTCTACAACTTATTGCATGATCCTTGCAGTATCAAACATTTGTACTTGTCAGATATAACAATCAGATGAATAGATCGTTGTTAAATATGTAGCAGATAAGATTTTCTTAATGTAATCAGACCAAATTTTCAATCTGGTACATAGTATTTTAAAAAAGTACCATATTTATGTATCTACATCGTACGGACCATTCAATGTAGTATTCTTCTAACAGAGATTGATATGATATGCCCCTTTCTGTTTGTAGGTACTTCTCGGAGACATGGGAACTGGAAAGACCAGTTTAGCGTTGAGATTTGTAAAAGGCCAATTCTTTCCTAACCAGGTGAATTTGCTTCCATTTTTGTTGCATTTACTGAAATTTAAAAGATGATTTCTTCATTCACGCATCACTGTACCCTCGGCAAGGTAACAAAACAGTTTAGAAACCTTAATTGAAATTAATTTGGCACAGGAACCAACAATAGGAGCTGCGTTTTTCACCCAAATATTATCATTATCTGAAGCAACTGTGAAGTTTGATATATGGGACACAGCAGGACAGGAACGTTATCATAGTTTGGCTCCCATGTATTACCGTGGGGCAGCAGCAGCAATTGTTGTCTATGACATTTCAAGCGTTGTAAGTATTCAATTTACTAATTTTGAAAGCATTGCTATGATTTACTAGTGGATAACTGGAAGTTGTGCTGTGAAATGGCAATCCCAGAAACATTTGGCTTTAGTGTAATTTTGTTTGAAATTACTTCATAAACTGATATAAGCACACTTGTAATTGTAATACTCTGACCTAAAAGCTTTCTATATTCTGCACTATGCAGTGATAGACAGTGTAAACTGTTACAAGAACTTCTGTTTCCAAGCAAATGTAACTTGTAATTAAAAAAATATTCTCCTAATTTTCTCTTCTGAAAACTGCTTCAGTGGATGAGTTAAAAGATTAGAACTGACAACTCCTGCTCTGCATTAATTCTTGTAAACTTTAACAGTAGGTGTTATGTTACCTCACGTGGTTTCACTGCAATATGTTCTATTTGCTCTTGAATTTTTCCGGTTACCTTACCCTGAAATAGGATAATAATGGAATGATAGGTTGATACTGAACAGTACATTAATAATTGATACTTAGGAAGTTTTTCTATCATCAAAGTTCTATTTCTTTTAGTGCACTTGAATGAATCTTGAAACTTTTTGTCTGTTATGATCTTCTCTTCCAGGATACATTTGTTCGAGCAAAAAAATGGGTTCAGGAATTGCAAACACATGGTAATGCTTCAAATTCAGGAAATAAACAAATGCTACATATTTTCTCATTTTTCTTGTTGCTGCAGTTAAAGTTTTTTCTTAAAAGAGTAAAGAAGTTTGAAATAAAGCCACTGTTCTCAATCACTACTCTTATGTGTCTTTGGACATTAATCAATTAGATGTTTTCTACTTCTTTCATTAGATTTTCATTAATTCCAATGCCACTAATTGCTACAGTAAAACCTTAACTACTTCATGTAGGAAATCAGAAGGCAGTGATGGCATTAGTAGCAAACAAATCTGACTTGGAGCCAAAGAGAGAGGTTGAAGCTGAGGTAGTGTTGAGATCATCCTCGTACCCTGCTCTTTCCTTTTACTTGGAATAGAAAAGTCATGATAAATACATGGGAATATTCAGTTTTTATTTTTGTAAATCTCACCCAACCTTTTTTTTTCTTTTTTTCCACCTCTCCATTTGAAATGATGGAAGAGGAAGTTCATTTCTCTGCATTTGAAAGAAGGACCAGAGTTAGTACAACTGCAACAGTTCCCTCTTGGCTTGTGTTCTTACTTTGTGACTCGTTTGAGTAAATTAAACCATTGCAGGTAGGAGAGCAATTTGCTCAAGAGAATGGAATGTTCTACATGGAAACATCTGCTAAGACTGCAGAGAACATCAATGAGCTTTTCTATGAGATCGGTATTTTCTGAACATCCTCAAAAACGCTTTAGCCAATTAATTCAGTCATTTTCCTCAAATGGTTAGCTCTTGGTGTGGAGAGAAAGTGATTTGAAAATTTATGGACAAGATTGCAATGTCATTTTACTAATAAAACTTATCCACAAACTTTCACCTCCACACCAAATTGACCATAGGTGTCAGTTTAAGGAAATATTGCATGTGTATTGAGTTGTTGTTTCTATCTGATGAATTCAGCAAAAAGATTAGCTAGAGCTTTACCACCAAAGCCTACCGGAATGAATTTGAACAGCGTTGTACAAGATAGAGGGAGAAGTTATTATTGTTGCTCAGCATGATATTCTATGTAATCAAATCACAGAATGTGTCAAGGTACCTTTGACATCGTTCTTTTGTAATACTGACCACTTAATATTCCTTCCAAGTTGGGTGACTTTTTTCTTCTTCATATAAAGAAATCTCATGTGTTCAAATGATTGATTGCGTATTTGAATTCTAGGTCACACATCATCACTTGAAATATTATCTAAAGTAATTATCTGTAAATATTTGCATAGTTGATCATATCTTAAAGAGATCTGATTTTGAGTTTGAAAACATTAAATAGTTTTTAGTTTGGACCACAAAAATAGTATTGATGTTTATTAATTTTAGAATAAAAATAAATTCAAAATCAAACACTCGTCTAAATACACACTTATTTAAATGAATGTTTGGTTTAAAAAATTAAAAAGTGCTTTTTTTAAATTCTAACATAAAATATGAAACTAATAAAATAAAAATACTTTAAGAAGTTTCAACTTTAATTCCAGTATACACTAGCACACACTGTTCTTCCTTGTGATTGGGCCGAATGCCGAAAAACTAAGTTCTTGTGAAAAACTAAATTGATTCAATGATTATTACTGATGTTATCAACCATCATAAGTTAAATGAATTTTTTTACACCTTACAAAAAATTTTCACTATGGTCTTTCATTCTATGACAGGTATTTTGTAAAATTCAAATTCTGAAATATTTATCCTAAAATTAAAGAGTGATCCAAATTTTGTTTTAAGAGTAAAAAAGTTAGATGAAGATTTTCTATTTCAAAATATTTAGCACTTTATTATATTAACTACATCTTGGTCTACTGCATGGGCCTATTTATTCAATTTCTTTTTCTTTATGTCATCTATCCAACTTCATGGACCGCCAAACCAACTTCTATTTTTTTCTAAGAACAAATAATTAAATTCTTCTTTACCTTATCACACACATAAAATCTATTAGACGGAATTCATTTAATGTTTAGCATACACAACAAGAATATTACAAAATAAAACGAATGCCATATCAAATCAAATATTACAAATGACTGTCATCAGTATATACGATCACATCTTCAGTTTTATGTAGGAAAAGACCTGTAAATGCTTTCAGCTAAAATGAGATAACAAAACGGTTACTTATTATTACAATAAAAATGACATGAGATTGATATTGATCAAGAGGTACAAGGCCACTGTATTATGGAATTGGATTTCATAAACTAATAATTTTTTTTGCCAGAAGCATGTTTATAAATGAAAATCATACATCTTCTATCAGTCAGTATCCACAGTATGTTGAAACGGATTGAGGAGATTGACATCAATTATTAAAGGGACATGAATCCATTCAAATATATTCTCTGCGATAATATAAAAATTCAAATACAGTTTATTTAACAATGTCACATGTAATCTGCAGGACTCATCCCCATCAAATCATATAGCACAAAGAAAAATATACTTTACCCTGAAAAAATAAGCGCAACCCATCTCATGATGAGCTCTGGCCGAGGTTCTGTGATATAGACCTTAATTCACTGTACATTTTGGAACATTCAAGAGAAAAATCCGACATAGCCCTAAAGAGCTCTGGCATGCGATTTTTGAGACTCCCCATAGTTTTTTGCCTCACTTGGTGGCATTGCCGTGCATAGGCTTCTTCCTCATCTTCTAATCTCTTCTTCACTTGTTCAACAGCAACCTGCCTCTCTGTAACAGCCTCATCAGGACCGTTACTGTCTTCTGCTGTTTCGGGATTGTACTCATCTGGTATTTTCTTTTGCATGTATTTGTTATACCAATCTTCAAATTGCCTTGTTTTGCGGGATAGCTCCTTTCGCGTATCCTCACATTTCCTCTTCAAAGCTATTTCTTCTTCTTGCTGGTGGAAAATAGTCTCTATCACAGCAACAAAGTTTCCTATAGCTGTCCTAGCAAGCTCGTCGGGAAGTTTTTCTAGACGGTCGTTCCATGCATGGAGAAGGCCTTGTATGGGCGCACTCCTAACCCTTGGAGGTGAAGAAACCTTTTCCTTTAAGCTGCTTTCAATAGGAATAAGATTTAATTTTAACCATGTGTTTAGGGATTTTATGTATCCCTTTTGATGGTTGACAAGCATTTCAAATTGTGAATGCC